AAGCCTAATTAATTGGGTTACATCTCCCAGGCAGTGTCTTGACTGGAAAAGATAGGGGAGAGAATGAAAAAAGAGAGGTGTAGGTTAATGGCTATTTGCATTTCTAAATATATGTAGTATTTGCACAGTTCTTGCTACTAGAAGATTATTATTGTAGTGACTTTAATCTTTACTAGTTGCTCTATAACCAAGGGTCAGCTGAAAAGTTCATAGTCTGGCTGACCAGCTGTTTTATTCTGGTGGTGTGCATGTCTTTTAATCTACCAACTGGTGTGTCTACTTACATTTACATCTTGATCAGCCTATGAACTTTCCAGATAACCCTCGAATATGTAGGCTTGTGCCAAGTTGGATATCATCTGGCTTAGAGTGATGGTTAACAAGCTAATCTGGCAGAATTTAAGCTTTTATCTTGAGGTTAATCCTCATGATTGTAGCGGAGGGCTGTTGCATTATGTTGCAGCAAGTATATATATGCCAAAAAAGCTTAATAGTTAATAAATATTATTCTGTCCTTAAAATATCTAATTCAACACTTTCTAACTTAACTGATGATCAAATAATTGCTGATATTATATGTTAACTAATTAATGCTTTGTTCAAGAAGTGAGCTAGTGTGACTTTTATCCTCTTTGATGATTACATGTTTGGAGTGAGTGGCTGATCAAGATCAATGATACTACTGGCTAATTTGGCTGAGCAATTGTGGTGGTGAGCCACTGACCAATCTTGGCTGGCCTGTGATTAAATCCACAAGTATACAGGAGCATGTATACAGTAAAAAAATAAATGTGCAGACAAAATGTATTCTATTGTTTATACAAGCATAGAAATAATATTATCAATAATGATATAATACTCACTGTATACCTACTTTTGCAGCCCCCATATATAAGCTTTTCATTTTAAAATGTTTCCAAATCAACATGCAAAAAACCATACTGCATAATATCTACTAGACACACACACATACACACGTACAGTTACAAATATACATTATTATCTGATTCCCATATAGACAAACTAGAATTTTTATACACTTACATACATATAGAAATATTTCTATTTTTTCAGGTAGGATTGGAATCTGTTAAATTGTTGAAACTTTGGATTGACACGTCATCTCTCTTTGAAACTGAAATGTCAGAAATTATACTAACATTGGTTTAAAAGAGTCAAATATACATGAGACATAACTGACCATTGAAAATCAAACAACACAAAGATAAAAATACCAGAATTTCTTTCTCCTTTTTCTCCATATCTCATTCTCTGATGAAACTTTAATAAAAGTGAAACATGTTAGATGGATAAACGTTGCCTATTTGTTCTTTCCTATCTTATCATCAATTTAAAGTGTAATAATATTTTATTAATTTTTATCTTATTTTTTAATCTACATTATTTATTTTTTGTTTTATTTTTTTTATTATCATTATGATTATTTATTTTTTTTAGCTTGCTTGTGAATTTTACAAACTGCCTCCAAATTTCAACCAGGTACCTGTAGAGACTGCAAGTCAGCGGATCCTGATTGATGATACAGTTGGTTGGATATCTTGTTCATATTCCCAGTACCATTTTTCTTAATTATATAATTTAATTGAAATGTGTTTGACAGTTTAATCTTTCATTAAAATGTAAATGTTTATGCACAGAATATTGCACATTTAAATAAACCCACAACAATGAAAAAAGGAGAAAAATTGTTTAAATATGAAAATATAAAATATTTTTATTTTTGTGTTTTTAACAACTAAATTTTTCTCAGCCTGTATGACTGTTAAAGTTCTCCCTGTCTTTGTTTGAAAAGAAATGTGATTTCTTTGTATGTATGTACATATGTGTTAGAACGAAGAGATAATGGAGAAAGTGAGGAAAAAAAGTGTAAGTGTCATATAGCTTGGTGAGGAAGATGTGTGAATGATTAAAGGTATTATTTTAAGCCTGATATCATCAACTGTTGCAGTCTGTAGCTCCTTACATTTGTTTGGTTTTTCCATCTAGAAACTTTGCTTAAATACCTTTCAAAGGGATCACAAAGCATGTTTTTTTTATTGCTGACAGGAATGTGACCCATTGGTTGCAAAATATTAAATATTTATTTTCAAATCATTAAGTTATCAATCAGAAGGATGCACAATCCATTGACTCTGAAATCATCTTTTCGTCATTCAGTGTTTGAGTGGTTTGATGTTTATTTCCGTCTTCATTCTACAAGATAAAATTTTTGTCCAGTTTAATTGTGAAAACAGATAAAAAGCAAAAAAAGCTAACATTCTATCACAGGTGTAAAATTCAGTAAACTCACAGAAAAACACTCAAAATCTGAAAAAGAAATAATTGCAAAATGTGTAAGGTTCTGTGAATATATGAGAACATACGAGGGTCATTCAATAAATATGGTGAATTTTTCGGTATAAGGACTTCTAATACAGATAGAAGCTTACTTTTTTTATTTATTTTTGTTTTACTTCTTTTTCACATGGATTTAATTTCTTTTGCAGATAAAAAAAAAACTTTGAGAGTTTTGGCGATTAACAAAGATGGCTGACCAAGAATCATGCTCCAGGATTGAACAGCGGTCAGTTATCAAGTTTTTGGTTGCTGAAGGGTGCAAACCAGTTGAAATTCATAGAAGAATGTCAACTGTGTATGGTGCCACATGTTTCAGCCAAAAAAATGTCTACAAGTGGGCTAAATTGTTTAAAGAAGGACGGAGCAGTGTTGAGGATGAAGACAGGCCTGGGAGGCCTACAGAAGTGAGGTCTCCTGAGGTGATTGAATCAGTCAATGACCTCATTCAGTCTGACAGAACAACTACTGTGAACTGCTGAGGCAGGTCAAGAAAGACATAAAGAACAAACGCAGGGGTCATCAGTCAGAAGGAGTCATCTTGCATCATGACAACGCAAGGCCTCACACAGCAGCCCAAACGGTGCAGACCATCAACGAGCTGGGCTGGGAACTGCTCCCTCATCCCCCTTACAGCCCAGACTTTGCCCCTTCAGAATTTCACCTGTTTGGTCCCTTGAAAGCATTCACAAGAGGCACGAAGTTTAAAAGTGACGATGAAGTCAAAAGTGTTGTGAGCGACTGGCTGAGACATCAGTCCAAAGATTTTTACACTGAGGGAAAACAGAAGCTTGTGCACAGATGGGAAAAGTGTGTGACAGTGCTGGGAGACTATGTTGGAAAAAAAAAAGTAAGCTTTTATCTGTATTAGAAGTCCTTATACCAAAGAATTCACCTTATTTATTGAATGACCGTTGTACATACAAATTCCAGATGTATATACCTACAATTTGTCACATTGATCAAGCTTTTCTGAGGATGTGGGAACTAGTTAGGACCCATCTACCCAGGCATTTGTTTTTATCTGAGTGTCAGGATTCCAAACATTTAATAACAACAACACATATTTTAAATGAAGCATAAAAAAGGTTCTTTTCTGAAGGAAAAACAGAAGCATAATGTCAGTTGAAATAACGTTCACATATTCTTCCCAGAAATATACAACAGCAATAAAAAAATTCAATTTCCCTTGCAGTGAAGTTTGTTTTATAAAGTAATTAAGTGTTCATAGAGTGTGTGAAATGTGTGCAACAGTCAACCTAATGTGTTTGTAGACAAAAGCATATTCAGCAGCTGCTGGTTAATTTCTTCTATTGCATGCATGGACAAAGCCTTAGTCAGTGGCTGCTGCGTCTTTCATTCGATGTGGGTGTGTCAGTGTGTGGGTGCATGTGTATGTGCACACATGTAAATCAAACTGGCCCTGAAATTGTTTTGAGCCCCAAGAAGCAGTAGGCTTCTATTTTTATATCCGTAAGGGGCATTCAAAATCTAATTTCACATAGAGGTGTGAAATTTTTGAATACAAGGTTTTCATTAGTTAGAAAATAATTTCACACTGGCTTGTAAAAGTATTTTTCTCAAATTTGCGGGTGTGGTGAAAGGAGTTATTATTGTTATTTTCTAAATGGTCCAAAAATAACACATGGTAGGTCTACAACAATGTCTGCAAGTAGTTTAGTAGTATTTGCCTTAATAATTATTGTTTATCAAACAAAATTTTCTGATGGGATTTTATTTGTATGAAAAGCATATATAGGAATTAATTCCTATAGTACTTATGAGTACAAACTTTTGCATTTCAACCAAACTTGATTTACAAGATAGTTGAGAAACATCATTTTTCATAATTTTTGGTATAATTCCAAGTGCTCCAATAACTATCAGGATTGCCTGAGTTTCAAGATGCCACATATTTTAAATTTCATTTTCTAGATTTTTGTATTTACTTTGTTGAAGAATTTAACTGAAATATTTGCATCAACAGGGATTTTTAACTCAGTGAGTAAGCATTTTTTTCTAGCAAATCTTTGACATTTATTTCAAGCTTATTTGGCTTTTATTGTTGTTTAACTAGAAAATGCCACAGCACATATATATTTTCATGCAATGTCAAAAAAATATGATTTATATTATCACCAGTTTTTTCCCATGTAGGTTGTAATTCCCATATATTATTATGCAGTTAATACATTGGCATATTCTGTCATGGCATGGAAGTTATTATGTTGGGACTAAGAACATTCAGCATGGGAATAAGACATTATTATTATTATTCTTGTTATTATTATTGTAGCAGTTGTGGTGCAGACAACAGAAGGCCAAATATTTCAATGTTTGAATTAGAAACTTGAAAATTTTATTTGTTTAATATTTGTTTTTATTGATTGATTTTTTTTATGGCTTATCAACCCATTGCAGGTTATTTAAAGCCAGAAAATAAATTTTTTAATTGTAAGAATTTTTCTTTTGTGATAATAATATTTTAGTGATACAGGTCTTACTAATTAATGCATAGTGATGATTCATACCGTTCCAAAGGGTACTTGCACATAAGTGAATATAACAAACTTAACTGGAATTGAAACTCATCTCCACAATTTCCAATTCCAATTTTTATTTATTATACCAAATGCACACCCAAGCTTACAGCACCTGGTATTCCCAAGCAGTTACCCTTGTAGCTACTGACCAGGTTTAACATTGCTTAGCTTTGGTGATCATATGAGAACCAGTGTTTCAATCTGATATGGCTGTAAGCTTAATATTTGTCTGAGATGTTTCCAGTGAGTAATGATGCTCATATCTCATCTTCTACATGCAGTTTAGAGACATAACAATTTCCTCAGTACATTAGCTATTCCAAGCAATGCTGTCACCTGTGCACTTTGAGTGATGTCAGATATCTCCAAGGTGTCTTGTGGGGCAGAATGTTTTCTGAAAATTTTTCAAATGTGCATCAACCACAAAAAGGACATTTTGTGCTGCTGCTTAGTATCTTTCTTAGATTTGCCCTGCCAGGTCTTGGTGGTGCTGTTTTTTTGACTGCTCAGCCTTCATGAGGTTCTTATTTCTTGGTACCGCAATGTCTATCAGGATCCATTTATGGCTGCTCTTTTGATATCAGGGTGATTGCTCACCAAGCATGTGCTTGTTAGTCAAAATCGTTGCACCCTACATGAGTTCCATTTCTTCTTCCTCTTCTTTTCCTCTTCTTCTTCCTCCATCTTCCTTCATCCTCTTTTTATTCTTCTTCCTTCCTCCTCCTTGCTGCCTCTGTTTCTTTTGATTGCTCAGCCTTCATGATGTTCTTATCTCTAGGTACCACAATGTCTATCTGGATCCATTTATGGCTGCTCTTGCTCTTATGATTGCTCTCCAAGTACTTGTCAGTCAAGATGGTTGCATCTCATATGAATTCCACTTCTTCTTATTCACTTGTTGAGTTTTCATACCAGAAATGTTTAGTGGTGTTGGAAAATGAAATAAATCAATAAATAAAATAATAATAATACAAAAAAAGGAAAGAAATGCATTTTCTCATGATGCTAGTAGTAAAAAAAAACTGGAAATATGATTACCCCACTTTTCTTCCTCCAAATGCCCATTAGGTGTCACCATTGAAGCCTATAAAAAGATAAACATTTCCTGTCTCACTTGCTTTCTCCTTCTTGTTCCAATATGTAGCCGTATGTGGAACATGGCCTTGATAGGGCACGTTTCCCTGATGACTGACTCTCTCTTTTCTCTTTCTAATGCATCGTGTTTACATGTGTCTCCCAAAACCTCCAACTATGAAGTAAACTAAAGCTTTCTTTTGTTGTTCCAACTCTGTGCAAGGCTGACTTGAGCATGACTAATATAATGATTTTTATCCTTATTTACCATAACTTCTAGTCCAAGAAAAAGAAAATGGATATGCCATAACCATGTTTAAAACTTCTAATGATAAAGTAAGTGCAAAATTTCTTTGTTTGTTATTTGGTTATTCAAGTTTGGTTTGAGTTCGACCATTAATACAATGCTTATACTTACTTAACCTAACTTCTGGACTAAAAAGAAAATGGGCATACTCAAGAGATATTGAGAACTTTGTTTTCATATATTCACCATAAAAACAGATTAAATAGTCCATAGTATAAACTCAAGTTTTTATATGCTTCTTCTTTAATTGTTTACATAAGAATATGCAAGTACATAAAATATATACTGAAACACACAACCTTTTAAATTATATAGTGGTTTCCAAGTCTTTTCAATATTTATTCTCAGTAGTATTGTTTTCAGCAATGTTAATGTGACACAATAGAAACTGATCTTCAGGCTACTTAGGGTTTTAAAACCCAACTGTAGAAAACTGTTTGCATTTGGCCTGGTTAAATATTTGCTTTAGAAAATAGGTTATTAAACATACCTACCTGACTACCACCTACATCCTAGAGAAATGTTTATACCCAGATAAAATCAGGTGTGTCAAAATCCAATTAAGAAGTTAAAAAAACATGAGCAACACTAAAGTGGCTATAAAAAAGATTTCCTGACTGATATTTTAAGCAAAAGAAATTAAAAGTAAAAATTAAAATAAAAATGACTAAATTGCAGTCTTAATAGGATCTAGAGTATTTAGATTACTTAGCTTGTAGTATGAGTGATACAATTAAGCATTAGATAAACAAAATAAAACAGGGGACAAAACTCAGAGAAACAAAATACCAGAACAAGTGGACAGGTTGTGTAATGAGTCACTCAGAAAAAGAAAGCATAATATACCCACCTGAATATCCCACTTCCTCTGGATGTTAATATCTGATTTATCAGTTCATTGACACTCCCTCACTTGCAAGAGTTTTCAAAAGATAAAGTTTGCAGAGATATCTTGTGTACCCTATTGTACCTTCTCATGCTAATGTTCTCAGTTGACATGAAGTGGAAAGACTACATTGACTTGAATCCATTGCTAGGTCAGCTGCTAAGAAAGATGGTTCACTGTTTTGTACAAGACAGTTTTTCTCCCCCAAATCTATCATACATATATATATAAGACAATCATTTATCCATACTTAGAATATTGCTGCCACATATGGGCTGGTGCTTCTGCTATTTACCTTGAGCTTGGTAAAATACAAATAAAAAACAGCAATATTATTGGCCCTGATCTGGCAGCTCAACTTCAGTCACGTTCCATCATTGTAAGGTTGCGCCACCCTGTGTCGTATTTATAAATAATTTCATGATAATTGTTTGCATGAGCTCTTTGTTATGATGCCTAGATATTTTTAATTTAAGCACAGTACTAGATTGGCAACAAGATCTCATCAATTTACAGTTGAGTTGGCTAGATGTAACTGTAAGTTCTAGAGTAACAGTTTTTTCTCACACTTCTTACTTGAGGAACTCTTTTCTGACTCTATACTTTCCAGTCAACTTTAATCTCTAAAAATTTAAATGTAATGTCAATTACTATCTACTGTCCTCCTGATTATATACACATATACCCGTGTCCCACACAGAGAAATTATAACATATATGCAACAACAAACAGTGTGTAACAAGAGGAGCCTTACTTGTAATATTTCCCAAAGGGTAAACTGCAGTTACAGTAGTTTCTGTACAAACCTGGTGTGGCCATGTGGTTTTTCCTGTAAGACCTACTGCTGTGGACTAGGGATTCTTTGGGTTCTACATCACAAATGGCCTTCGTCACTCTGGTTGTCACATGACCCTCATGACTTTATCTCAAGAAAAAGGAGATAACCGCCTTTTGTATCCCTATATCCTCATCAGGTACAGATTTTCATATGGATGTCATGTATGGTGTCCGACTCATTCAGAAATATCTAAACTATCAGCTATCTTCAATGGTTTTCTCAGGTCATTGATTAAAAAATGGCTTCTTGTGAATTAATCCTTCACATCATAGTGAAATTGCAAAATGTTTTAACAAATAACAAAAACCACATCACTTGTACACTTCTAACAACAACAAAAAGAATTAGCCCTCAGACTAGAATGGAAAATAATAATATAATTGATATGTTAACCTTTCACACAGCTATAAATAAAGGCTTGGGAGGAAACACTTATCAGTATTAGAAAGAGCAATAACAGTTTGTGGACTTAAGAAATCTAATTTTCTGGAAAACTTTTAAGAAATTTTTTTATAAATTTCAACCTATAGTATAATGCAAACTGTTTAATGAACAAATGCTGAATGCTTCTGGTATATGGTAATCGAAATATTAGCCTTTCCTTATAAGGTAACATTTGACATTCATTGAATGAGCAGCCAGTAATGCTTTTGATTGAAATTTATAAAATCATTCACTTAAAACAATTTTTTAGGAAAACAGGTTTCCCAATCCCAGTAGCTGTTATCACTCTTTCCAGTATTGAAGGGGCTTTCCTTCCTAACCTTTTATTTGAAGTAGTGTGGAATGTCAACCTCTTGATTATGTCATTATTTTCTCTTCTCAAGCCCAGTAGCTGTTATCACTCTTTCCAGTATTGATGGAGCTTTCCTTCCTAACAGGCTTCACTCCCTGAAAGCTTTTTATACCATTGATCTTAGACAGCATTTGTATACAACTGACAGTTTAGATATTTCTGAATGGGTTTGGTGCAATGCATGACATCCATATGACAGTCTCGATCTGAAGAACATGACTCAAGTTTTCAGATTGAAATTTTGTACCAATTTGTGGTGTTAGATGAAAATAATTCTGATACAGGTTATTCTATGATCAGTTTCTTTTTCTCCTATACTTAATTTGTTATAAATGATCCATACTCCAAGGTATCTGAAGCGTTTAGTATTTACTAATTCTACATCCTAAATTTTTATGATCAATTCAGGGTAGGTGCCATCAATTTCTTAGTTTCCGTTTTGGAAATGATTATCTTGAATAGAAATAACTAATTTTGCAATTACCAATACAAAACAAAATTCAACATTAACCATAATTTCTATGCTAATTGTTTCTTCTTGTTCATAAAACTCCATTCTGGCTCTATGTTTTTCAACCAACTTTAATTTTCAAAAATTTAAATGCAATGTCAATCACTATCTACAGTCCACCTGATTAATCTTTTTACTCTCACTCATTAGTAATGTTTATGTTTCTACTTCTTCAACACCCACTAATTCCTTTGTGTCTTAGTGGCTTTACTGCCTTGCATGGGGTGAACTTGACTAAAAAAAAATTCTTTCCTGCTGGTGTTGCTAAAATTAATGCACTGACAACTTCTAACAAAGAAAAAGTGACTTAACATTTCTTTATTTCATAAGGGTTCACAGCTCTTGATATATTCTTTGTTCTGTTAATTGCCATGATATCCTAGGAATAATAGAGTGGTTTTTTTTTTCCTTCTCCATAGTTTAGAATTCAAGTTTTGCCTTCTCTTAGACTGGCACCCATCCAAGAAAATGTCCACTTTTATATATATATATATATATATATATATATATATATTAGTAAATTGCTGATACCCCATGAAAAGTGGATAGACAGGTCGCCTACGAAACTCTGAAGTCAGGATGCTGAAGGCAACATCAATCAGCTATGTGACAAACTTTCACTCATATTAATCTTATATAAACACACACACACACACACGCGCGTGCGCGCGCGCGCGTGTATGTATAAATTACAAATAGTATAATTGGATAACAATCCTTTATGGAGAAGTTAACAGAAAACCACTCCATTATATATCAAAAGGACTCATGTGAGTTCGCAAATAATAAGGAAAAAGTAATCTG